CCTTAAAGACTGCTCCAGGTACCAAAGTCTAACATTCTAGAGAAGAAATCTGGCACTCTCCTGTGTCAGGGGAGACAGGGTTATGTAGAAGTAAGAATGTGACCCTGGATTATGGATGTTCAGAGCCTCAGGCCCAGTATAGCAATCTTGTTGGTGGAATCCCCAGAGGGGAACAGATGGATGCTAGAAATAATAATAGCTGATGCATACCAGGTGCCAGGAATAGACGCTGAACAAAGAGACTTACCCCTGCAAAGTGGACACCGTCATTACTGCAGAAGTGGAAACTGAGGCTCAGAGAGATTGCTGCTGCTTGAAACATACAGCTGGCTGTGACAGGGCCCAGTGGCCAATCCACGGTCCACATTTCCCACCAGGGAACCGTGATGCTTCCGACATGAGGCACCATTGCCCTACTGTGATGACAAGGGAAGAACTGATTGGTGCTGAGCCCGATTTCCCAGTCAGGGCCAGTGAGCCTGGGACAACACTGGCATGAGCAAAGTTGAGAGGGTCTTTATGCTTTTTCCTTCTGATGACCAGCACCTTGGGCTTTCTGGAAACATCCTCTGGGATGGTGGGTCAGCAGCAGAACTCTCTGGCCTCTGCATGTCCCTCCCCAGGGAGGCCACTCTGGGAGACATCCCACCCCTATAGCCAGACCGCGAGCAGGGTGTGGTCAGCCTCTCCTGGCCTCTCCATTAGTTTTATAGGAAGGCTCAGTGTCGCCTGCACCCTGCACACACGATTCCTAACTTCATCAAGCCACGTGAGTCCTTTGCACACTACTCAGCTTTTTTTTTTCTATTCATGTCTTGTATTTCATCTATACCTTTATTTATACAATATCATTTCATTTCAATAATCACAAGCCAAAAAGGCAAGATTGAAATCCCAGCTCTGCCATTTATTATTTTTGGGCAATTTCCTTACTCTCTTTGTGCCTCAGTTTCCTTATCTGTATACTGAAGATAATGACAGTAACTACTTCCAGGAGTTGTTGAGCCATTCTAATGCCATCACATGCAAAGCATTAAAATAAACCTAACACACAGCAAGTACTGGAAATTGCTAGCTACCACCATCATTATGGTTATTTAAAGAGGAACTTTATGTCCGTATGCTAATTGGGGAAATCTGTGCCACTTACCATATGGTAAAAATAAATATAAGGGAAACAGTTATTGAATGCTTGCTGATGTATACCAAGAGCTCCTTGCCTGAAACCTCCCATCATTTTGTCAAGAAGAGAGATAAACAAGTGTCAGAAATATGTCGAAGCACTGGGTTCCATTGAGGGTGACTGGCTTCCCAATCTGTCCCCAGACAAACACAGACATCTGGTCACCGAACTTCAGAGGACCCCTCATTAACGTGGAGGACAGGGAAGAACTGAAAAGGAAGTGATTTCTCGCAGTGTGCGTAGGACTTTGGGTCGGGAGCCTGCAGAGCATCCTCCTACAGAGCAGGGCCATACCACAGGCCACACAACACAAGCCCACCACTAAGAGCTGGATCCCCAAATGCCACAAACTTAAGGAAACAGGCACGTCATATGTGTCACTAAGATAGTGACGAAGGAAACCCACACTGTAAACACCAGTGACAGCAAGGGTGAACAAACTGTTGTACAGCTACAATGACTGTATGTGAGCCAGTCATTGAAAACTGTTTTAAACAATATTTAATGGGGCAAGAAAATGGAATTCCATTACAATGGAATTTTCAGTTAAATAAAGAAGACCGCAAAATCACATTTCCAATAAGAGCTTAGTTTTCTGAAGTATAAACATAAAAAAATAAGCCTACCATAATAGTAACAGTACTTATCACTAAAGGATGAGATTCTGGAGGGTTCTTAAATCTTTATACTTATTTTTAGATTTCTTATTTATTCTTATTTTCATATTGCCTAAGGAAATTGAACAATGAACATATACCAGAAAAAATAAATAAAAATTATACATTTTTAAGGAGTAGAAGAAAGTAACCAGAGCTAAGCCCAACATGGAAATGTGTTTTCATTGTGTTTTGTTTTGTTGTTTCTTTACATCCTTTTTTGGCTGGGAAGAAGGGTTTCTGCCGCCTGCCTGCCACCCGTTTTCTGTCTCCTACAGTGAGAGCTCTAGAGAGAAGGCAGGCCTTCTCCACAGTCCATCATGGGCAGGTGTCACCTCTGCAAGGCCCTGCAAGGTCTGAAGGTCCTCAGGCAAGACTGCCCTGGGCTGTGACCTGAACTCAGAGTCTGGCCTCCAAGGTCACAGGGCAAGCATGACATTCCTTCCCTGTCTTCTGGCTTCTCCTGTGACCTGGGCTGTGACACTCGACAGCTGCCCCTGAGCTAACGAGAGGCAAAGAGACATCTAATGCAGAAAGTGCCCAACTTAGACGGAGGTGACCTGAGCTGGAATCCCTGCTCACCACCAGCAGCTGGGGCCCTCACAGAGCCACGGTGTGCTCATCTCAAACACAGGGTTAAATTAAGTTATCCGCACAAAGTGAGATTTCAGTTAAACAATATCAATTAATACCAGTTTCTTCCCCCTATTTCCTTTTGTATGACATCTCCTTTCTCCATCTCCCTCCCCTGAATCAGAAGTTCCCCAAGGCACAGGGGCAGGGGCAGAATCCGAGGGCTCCAGGCTCCCTCTCTCTATCCACCTGGCTCTGGTGACTGTCAAACCACAGTAAGGCTGCTTTAGGGCTATCAGCAAGTGGGCTGGATGGTGAAGACCTCCTCTTGCATCTTTTGAAGCCAGACTAGAAGAAGCTGGGCATCAGCAATACGTTCATAATAAGCCAAGGGCCCTGTTTAACACTTCGTAATATGCATTCTATCCATTAATTTGCCCAAAGATAACTGATCTTGAGTAGTTGGCATGCTCCTGGCATCATTCTGGGTGCTGGGTACACAGTGGGAAACTGGATGCAGTCGCTACTCCTGCTAGAGGTGTGTGTGTGTGGGGGGGCATCTGGCCACCTTCATTACACAGGCTGTAGAGGAAAACGGCTGTCAGGGAAGCTGAGAACCTATTCTGGGCAGCTCACCCCATCAGGTATGTGTCCTGGCTTTCTCTCATGGACGCACAAACCCCTCACCCCAGCACAATGAGCTTGCTGGGCCAGTGCAGAATTTAGTTTTCGTGGAAGGTGCCACAAGGTCCTAACAACAATGACCTAAAATGCTACTTAAATCTCTGCTCTGCCTCTTGGTGGCTGGCCGAGCTTGTACAAGTCCTTTAACCCCTCTTACCCCACTGTCCTCACCCATAAAACTGAGGTTAATGATACATAGCTCCTGACATTGCTGAAAGGGGCTCATGCTACCACGTATGACAGCCCAGATACAGTGTGTTGGAAGAGAATTGGTGCTTCTCTCACTCTCTTCTGAGATGGGACCAACGAGGGGTGAACAGGACACGGTGGCCCTGATCAGTCTCCAGAGACAGCTGTCTAGAGTCAAATGCCAGTCGTGTGACTCTTGGTGCTAACAGATGCGGATGGTGATGATAGTCCCTGCTGTGTAGGGCTGTGCTAGCAGTGAGTTACGGTGCAGCAAAGGCTTCAAACCGTACTCAGTGTCTGGTGAGGACCGTGTTTGCTTCTCCTCCCACCAAAAATACACGTATGGGCTGACTGATCATGCAACAACAAGCAGCATATAGATTCCTTCCCTGATGACCTGTGAAGGTGTGCAGGGAAGCCTTGCTTACCACTGAGCATAGAGGGATAATTAGCTGTGAATATGATCACCCCCAACACAATGTGGGAACACACACACACACACGCATGCACACACATACCTCTGAATCATAGGGCAAATAAACATGGCAATGCCAACTGTTTTGTCATTTAGGTCAAAAATCGCAAAACACCACTGGCACACACAGTTGTGTTGAGGGGCAGGAGCCCTGGAGTTAGAGTCACGCAGACCTGGGTTCAAGTCCCAGCTCTGCTCCTTCTCAGTGCCGTGACCCTAGGCAAGTCTCTTACCTGAGTTTCCCCTTCATGACAGTGTTAGGGGGAAGGCGGGCAACTCTACCTCCCTCACCGGTATGTCCCCACCTGCTGGTGCCCCAGCATTGCAGCCTGGGCAGATTTTGTTTTTCCCTGCAGCAGGCCCAGCTATGGCACCCTGAGCCTGCCCTGAGAGCTGCCTGAGGTCTAGGAGAACAGCAGCTGCCACTCCAGGCGCTGGAGTGCTGGCCGGGGTCTCAGCTGTGAGGCTGTTTACACCAAGTGCAGAGCCTCTCCAGCTTTTACGACTGTGTACTGTGCAGGAGGGAACAAGGCAGCTGGCCCCTGGCTGTCACTGGCCTTCCCGGTGGAGAAAGCCAGTCTGGCCACAGCTCACTCCAGGAATAGCTTCAAGTCAGGGCCCCTGGAGAGGAGCAGGGCTAGGCCCAGCAGAGACACAGAACAACGAGCCCTGGAGGGGCCAGGCAGGGGTACAGGAAGTAGGGAAGCTGGAGACCAGAGGAAAGATTGGGAGAGAGATAAAATGGGCTGTGGCCAGAGCACAGGACAGGAGGGACAGGGACAGATAGGGGCAGGGTCAAGAGTGGAGATAGGCTAGGCCGGAATGGGGTTCACACACACAGGGGCACAAGGGACAGAAGGGGAGACACAGAAAGGAGAAGTCCCAGCCTGCAGAGCTTGCATAATCCCTCTACTGCTACAAAGGGGCCCCCCATGAAAGCTGGGGGGTGTCTTCCAGTGAGAAGTCACACTTCACCCAAGGTGTGTGTATGCTTTCCAACAGCCAGCAAAAAAAGAACAACAGAATCAAGTTAGGACCAGCAAGATTCACTTCTTACTTAAAACAGCAACAATAAAGATGCTTGGCTGAAATACTACCCAACAAAACCAACTCCCCCGGAAAGTTTAAGTTAAGTGAACCCCCCATCCCAGCACCCTGTACCTTTAAGGAGGAGAAGGGTTCCCACTGCTTCCCTCCCGGCTGAAGAGGCAGGTTATTCTAGGATATAGCGATGACTTACCTAAAACTGAGTTATTCCCTTTTCCTCCTCTGGCCAGCCTCTCTTCACTCTGGGGAGCTTTTACCATTTAAGGTCAATGTTACATCTGGCTCGGGAGCTCCAAGCTGAGAGGCCTCTGGCTGCAAGAGCCTCAACTGCCCGCCTCCTCCAAGAGGGGCTGGAACTTGGAGCCATAGCTCCTCCAGGAGCCCCCTACAGCCTAGCTCTGGGGCTGAGGGCAGGGGACTCACCGGCCAGCCTCGGGCCTCAGGGGAACCTGGACCTGTGAGGCAGCCACTCGCCCTGGGCCCCTCCCATAGTACCCACACAACAGATGGCAGCACCCGTGGGTGGCTCGTGCAGCTGGACACCACCCTGGCCAGATGGCGATGCAAGGACTCTGTAGACCCACCTGTGATGCTGGAGTCCCCGGCAAGCATGTGAGCCTGGATAAGACCCTGGCCCAGTGCCAGGAGAGACGGGGAATGTTTCCTGTGCTGAGGATTTGGGGGTTGGGGCTCCTCCCACTTTGAACCCTTGGGATTACCAGAGAAAAGGGCCTGGGAGATTTGTCTAATTCCAGACCCAGCATCAGCCCCAACAATCAATCCCTGCTCCCCTGCTTAATAGCTCTATGGTGTCAGCATTGTGGAACCTCAGTCTCCTCATCTGTAAAGTGTGTATGTATGTGGGAGGGGATAACAATGATAATACCTAACTCCCTGGGTCCATAGGGAAATGATATAAGATGTTATCCACACGCCAGTACACAGTGCCAGCGTCTCCTAAGTGCTGGATCAGCGTGTGTGGGCTTCCTGCCTATGGCCTGCCCGGATGAGGAAGGGCTGTCTCTCTCTTGGAAGTCCACATCCTGTCCACACTCACTCTGTACTTCCCTAGGGTACAGTTCCCATCCAAGGACAAGACAATGAAGCACCACGCTAGGACATCTATGTGGCACCTCCAAGTCTTCTGGGATTAGAGACAGCACAAAGAAGCCCTGTATAGGAACGCTAGATAATTACAGAAAACCCACTTACATTTAAATTTCAAATTTTAAAAATCCCATGTAATTACTGCAGTTGACCCAAATATTACATGAGGTGTGCTGTTCTAATGATTGTGTGACATTCATCTGGAGTTCAAATTTAATTGGACATCTTGTATTTTTGTTCACAAAATCTAGGAGCCCTCACCCTGGCCATCACTTGCCACTCCAGAGAACATTCACCAGGCGTGAGCAGAAGCGTTGGAGCTCAAGCCCATCAGGTGACGACTGCTGAGACCTGCACAGTCCCCAGGCCTGGGACTTGGGCACAGTCAGTTACCAGCGCTGTGGCAAGCTTTCTCCACAGAGCCTGTCCCACAGGTGCCTTCCTCCGCATGTGCTCCTGGCTTGTCTCTCCTCCCACGCATTTAAAGAGATCTCTGGTGGAGATGCAGGCATGCTATCCATTTCCCTTATGAATAAAGGCCATTTTTGTCAATGACACTAAGGGAGGCTGCCCTGGATACTAGCTAGACTTTATTTCAGGTGTCTACACTTGTCTGGCGGCTGATCCCACTAGAAAATACACATGGTAGGATCTACTAGACTTGAAATCTAGGGCGTAGAAAGAGCTCACTAAATGCTTTAGTGCTGCTTTGCCAACATCAGCATGCTTTAGAATTCCCAAGTGTGAAGCTCCTTGAATTTCTCTTCCAGAAATTCTAATTCCATGGACTGAAGTGGGGCCCAGGCAACTGCCTTTGAATTAAAATCTTCAAGTGCTTCTTGTACAGTTGGCCCAAGGGTGCTGCTTTGCAGAATGCTGCTCCATAGGTTATCTTGGGAATCTGGTAGCAGTGACTATAGGGACATCAGGAGCCAGCGGTTGAAATAAAATCCAAGGCTTTATGTGCATGCGAGTGAGCGTGTGCACACGTATGTATGTGCACAAAACCATACATTAAACTACTATATTCCTCGTGCTATATGAGATGCTTTCCATAAAGGGGTGTGTGTATCTCGCAAGTGTCTGTGAAGTATAATTATTATACTTCCCTTCAAAAAAAAAAAAAGCCAAAGCTCAAAGAAGTAGGATAACTTTCTCCAGTGTTCCACAGACATGAGTGTTGAAGACTTAAATGCGAATTTAGTAGTTTGTCCTAAAATTCTTTCTTTTTTAATATATAGCTGTCCCTTCAGCAAGTTTCTTGAAGTAGGGTTCAAAGAGGCCTTTTTTTGGATCTCTAGGCTCACCAAAATTGTACACAAAACATTGTGCAATCCGCGTTTTTCTTGGTTAAAGTCCTGTAGCATTTAACCCAATTCACAAGGGGGTCACCAAATAACTTCTTTAATGCATTACATTTGTCCAAGCATCTGATAAAACACATTACTGGTGGGCATGTAAATGGAATAAGCTCTGTAGAGGAGGATTTAGTGCTATCAAGACTGTAAGGCTCATACCTTTTGACTGGATTCTACTTCTAGTAATTTATTCTGCAAACACACTCCCACACTTGGGAAATGACAGATGAACATAATTATTCACTGCAGCATTGTTTATAAAAGCAGAGAATTAGAAGCAACATAACTGTCCACTAACTGGGGGTCATAAAAGAAGACAGGGTGCAGCCACAACAAAAGAAAAGGAAGCTTTTGAGGTGCTGATGTGAAAAGCCTCCAAGGTGCACTATCACATGGGAAAAGTAAGATAAATAATAGTGTCTGGTAAATGGTACCAATCAATGCATGAACATCTTAGCTACTTTTTTCATTTCTGGAACGAAGTACCTGATGCCCAGAGTTAAGGAGGAAAAGATTTATTCAGCTCAGTTTGTGGAGCTAACCATAATCAGCTGGCTCCAAGGGGGGTGGCACATAGCAGGGGCAACAGTTTGTGGTTTCAAAAGGCAACAAAAGCAGTAAGAGCAAAAGAGGCAAAAAGGGAGGAGCAAGCCTCTTTCCCTCCTTTAGATTGTATGAAGGCTCCCACCTAGGGTAGATACACCTTTCATACCACCAATCCCAGCACAAGACAATGAGCCAATAACAAACTCTAGATTCAGCCATCTCCAGAAAGCCTGTCCCCCATGATCACATGAGGCTCTGAGGGGACATCCAGACACAAATCATAACATTGAGCATACATACTCATCCATATATACTAGTATACTTACATCCACACATACACACTCACAAGTGCTTACATGTGTGTGCATATAGTCGCACTAAAATTAGCATAAAAATGAATATCATTAACACTGGTTACTCAGAGGGAAGAGAACCAAGTTGTTAGAGCAAGAATTATCCACTGTATATCTTATTTATGTATTAAAAGTCTTGGACCATATGAATAAGTCATGTGTTCATATTCAAGAGTAGTAATAAAACAAAAACACTGATGTGAATGAAGTTTGCTTCCACTGATTCATTTTCCAGCACTGGTTCTTCCAAATGTCAAGAGTGTTGGATGATCTTGACTAAAGGTTATTGGTGGGTTTTTTTTAGCCTTTTATTTTGAAATAATTACAGGCACAGGAAGTTATAAAAATAGTACAGAGTCCCACATACCCTGAACTCGACTTCCCGCACTGGTGGTATCTTGTACTGGTACTATACAGTATATGTCAAAACCAGGAAATTGACATTAGGCTGTTACTGTCAATTGGTCCATAAATGTTATTCTAAAAGGTATTTTAAAACCTACTCTTCCCACAGATCATTCATTTAAAATGGTTTGTTGAATCCTTTATTTAACCATATGGGGCTGGCTGGTGAAATATGGAAGCAGCCCTGTCCTTGTTCTCTCAGTATGTGAACCAATGAGGGTGACCCTATTACTCAAGAGGGAGCAGTACTGTGGAGGCGCAGGATCCAGCAGTGCACAAGCAGCGCTAACCACAGCTCTAAAAATGGCACTGTGTCCCTTGATGTCCTGCTCATGGAGCTTCACAGCTTGCCCAAAAGCTGACTTTTAATCCTTAAAAGAGCATGAACAATTATTCTGGCTATATTTATCCTTGTTCCTGGAGCCACACAGGGATTTGGCCTCGCTCTACCAAAATCTCCAGCTCATCACTCAGCCATCAGGGATAATCATGTGTCCTCAGCATCAAAGGAGTGGGCCAGCAGAGGCGCACTGGCACATTGCTCTGGCAGGCTCTTGATTGGCCATCTGACCGGGAGCCAGGGAAGAAGTTCTAAAATTCCAGGCAAAGAGCACATCTTGGGACTGAGACAAACCAAGGGAAGAGACGCAGCTTCTTGCCAGGAACATAGCCAACTCTGGGCTTGGTTCCTGGGATGGCCTCACTGGGAGTTTTGCCTTGCCTGCCCCTTCTATACTTAGGAACTCTGTCATTTTCTCAGCACTCATTGGGCCCTGAGTGACTCTGAGCAAATGAGAGGCAAAGTCAGCAGGAATGGCATCCCAGCAGCGTCTTTGTGGTGTCAAGCTTCACGCTGGTCGCTTCATATACCTGGTTTAATGCCAGCAGTGCCAAATCCGTGTGATGGGGGGCTTTTCACCCCCATTTCCTAGATGATGAAACTAAGCTTGGAGAGCTCAAGGAGCTTTCCAGGTCACAACTTGTGAACCCCAATCTTTCTGACTCCAAGGACTCAGGGGGTTGAGTTTGAGGCAGTGCATGGGGTTTTCCATCCCCCTCTCCCTCTGCTTTTGCGGTCTCATTAAAATGATAGCATAAGACTCCTTAAAAAGAAGTAAATCTTCACTCTCAAAGAGAATGGCAGGAGAGGCAGGTGTGAACATTTCTGGACACTGGGAAGAGAGTGGAGTGGAGGCCATGAGGCAGGGACAGGGAGATGGTGCCTTAGACAACATACAGCGAAGGACCAGAGCCGGGAAGGGAACTCCGAGATTCCCAAGAGGCTCTAGTTTTGAACAAACAGGAGTGAGATACGGAAGCAAACAAAGAAAGGTAATTAACAGTTTATGGATAGAAGCAGCAGAAAAGGAATTAATCCAAGTTGTCTTTGTACTAGATTTAGACTAGACACACAAAGGTAAAGTGAAGAAAGATCTACAAATATGGAGTGGATTTCTTATTCATAAACATATGGACTTAAAATACTTTCAGTACACTCAGGGATGGTGCAAATTTGCAAATATAGTGTGGAAAAGGAGAATCAAAATT